ATATCAAAATACTTTATTAGTAATAATTTAAAAGTATTTTGATATATTTCTAATAATAAAGTAAAAATAAATTAACATAAAATAATAAATAATAGTTCAATAAAAGGAATATGTTTCAAATAGCATATCAATATTCCCAGTTTGGCATACATATTATATTCTCTTCAATATTCGCCGTTTGTTATGTTAAGAGAGCGTATGTTTACAGATTCACCGCTGTTATAAAAGCGAAAAATGTATATTGTTTCTCGTGCATCTGTGGTGAACTCCTTGATAAATCCTACAAATTGTTCGCTGTCGAACCTGCACCTTCTCATTGTTTTAAGTCTCTGTTCAACTAACTATGGTGGATGCAAAGTCTGCAATCCTTAACTGAAACCACATCTGCAAATGGCATATATGTATATGATATGCCAAGGCAATCTACTGAGATGAACGTTATTGATAAAAATAATATTGATAAACAAAAATCTGAAAAAAGTTCGAAGAGACCGCTATAAATAGGATTGTCTCCAATACATGCCTACATTCGATTTGAATCGAATTGAAAAAGTTCGAAGAGATCGGTACGAATTTGGATTGTCTTCAATAAATGCCTTCATTCGATTTTTAAAAATTATCTTCACGCTTCTTATAGACTTGAAGTCAGACAATGGTGTATTGGCTTAGAAGAAAAGAAATTCTAAGAAGTAAGCAAAATATTCGGAGCGACTTGCGTAAAAATTGGTTTAATCGTCGACAAACCAAAAACAGATGGTAGTTGAATTAACAGCTGAAATAACATAACATAACTGTAAGCCTTATTATCGGGTATAAATTAATGGACAAATTTAGAAAATTTTCTTTAGATACTGCAAACGAACCAGCCTCCAAGTATTCCGGCATTATCTTCCTTCTTCAATGTCATTCCATATGTATTAGTTTCAATGGGCAGCTCTCTAAAAAAGCTGCTTAGTCGAGAAATAAGGACGTTAAGACATATCGACTGCATCATAGACGAAAGAACTACGGGTGGCTACAAATCAGGTTTAATCTTATTGCAGAGAAGACACTACCTCCCACTTGGTTATCTATTTTGGAACCATCAGTATAGCAGCTTATCCCTGTGCCTTTGTCCACCTCGCTCCTTTCCCACTCTTCTCTAGAAGAGAAGGCAATGTTGGAGACAGAATTTAAATTCAACTTTATAGGATTTCAAAATCCATAATGATGGGAAAAGCGCGAATTTGTTAAGTATCTTAGAATGACCCATGTGTACTGGCGACCAAAGGAGCCAATCATTCAATAACATTTGATACAATTTAATGAATGTTTGCTGCTGGTGTCATACTTCATGTCAACAATCTCGAGAACGTTGACTTTAGTTAACTACTTCCTCCCTCAAGCTGTTGAATCGGTTTTGTTTAGGTTTCGACAGCCCTTTGTATTTCCTTCGACGTTTGTCTTTTTCAAGATTGGCTTGATGATGATTTAATTCGGTTTTGAAATCTTGGATGACGTGTAGGTTCTCATTGTTCATTCTATGGATTTGGGACATGCTTAATACTGGATCGTGACTGATGATATTGAGTAGAGGTGACCCTGCTATGCCTGGCATTACTATTTCAAGCTGGTTCACTATTTTGTGTCATTGATGATTGCAGTGGATCGGAATGGGATGAGATATGTCCCGTATGTAATAATCTCTGAACCTTCGTCGGTGCTAACTTTGCTGTGCTCTCGTTGATGACGATAATGCTGTGATTTATTTGTGTGATGGGCTTCAGGTGGCTTGGTTGTGGGCGGCAAAGGCTGTGCTGTGCGTGTAATGCTCGTGCACAAGTGTCTTGCTTTGTTAATTTTCAAACGAAGGCGTAAGTTGTTGTTACGCACTCACTTATTGCTGGTATGTCGTCGTTCCATTCGGCTATGGTGTCACCTTGTATCTGGAGGACCTTAATTTTAGATGCTTCGGTTAGACTAGCTTTTGGGCCTCTACAGTGTGCTCATTAAGATGGACCTTAAATCTTCATAGTCGAAATATGTCAGCTTAGCCAATTTAATTTTGAGTATCAAGAGATGTATTTGATTTGTTAACACTCTATTCCTTGCTTAAGTGTTTCATACAAGTGCGGTATACCGATCAACTCATTCCCATTTTTGCATTTCTCTTTTGCTTAATAACTACATTATATACGAAGGAGCAATAGCATAAAGTATATACTTGGGTTATTCTCCTTTTATGAAATTTTAAAGGTATATAACTTACATACTTATGTATATATGCATAATACAAAACAAACTATGTATTTAGCTATATTGAAATATTTCTTAAATTTATTTACCATAGTCATGGACTAGTGAACAACAGAGTTGCGATCACATTAACAATGCAACTGTGTCAAGAAGACCTTGCGGCAAAATAGTTGTCAAATTACTTTTCAAGAAAGAGCCGAAGTTTGGGCGAGTCATATACTACGGCAGGCAATTCAATGCACAAGAACGTCGCTTACCCAAATCACCACAATTTAAAGCACAATACGTTTAAGTTATGAAGGATGCTTTTATGAATGAAACGACTTAGCTTATTGCTTGTGCGCCAGCGTTGAATGAAAATGTTGTTGGTGTGTGATTTACTACAAATTTAGGATTTGTCAATTTGGCTGCCATATTGATTTCTGGTGCTGATGCTATTTGAGACAATTGTTGTTTTTGTACAACAATGTTTGTATTTTTCCTATTGGCTGACGTACTTACAGTTGTACGCTTAAATGTATGTAGATTTGTGTATGCATTACTTATTTTGCGCGGTCATATGCATATTTGTACATACATACTTACATATAGAGCAGTGCGCTTACATGTATTTATTGATAATTGATAATATATTATTATATTATATAATATAACATATTGATGTACATACATAAATTATTAATTCTGTAACAACTGAAATTAGAAAATTATGAAAATAGTAAAATATCATTTCTTGCATAATCTTTCACATTTGATCAATGTAGCATTTGTGTGAAAATATCATATTTTATCAATTTTTCATCATAAAAATCGTTTATATGGCAAAAAATAATCATGCATATGTGTAGTGGCATTTGTATTTTTTGTTTTCTCATTTATTTCGCTTCATTTTTCTCTTTATGTTGGGAGATACGTAATTTGTCAGAGAACGTTGTTATAAAATCTCATTTTTGTTTAATAACAGCAAATATTACAGAAAATGGTGAACTCCTTGATCTCAATTTCTCAGCCAACCAATCGAGCATCATACAAAATTCAATTTGCACCTTCTCGTTGTTATAAGTTCTCTGATTAAACATCTTCCAAGCGGTTGTAAAGCTCACGGAAGTTGTACATATAAAACTTGTCGTGCTGATGAACCTCATCGGAAGCACGGGGTAATTCAGAGAGAAGCCAATAGAATGAGGGGACTTAAATCCTTGTGGTATCACAATGGGCTTAGGTGCGTCGTTAGTCAGCTACTCTACCTACTTACTCAAGAATCGACTTTTTTTTTAAGGAAGGTAATTTTCTGGGACTAGTTATCATAGGATCTGAGCTCAAAAGTAAGCGGTTAAACAAGATTAAACCTGATTTGTACATACATTGTATAAACGTTTAAAATAATGCTAAACACAGGAGCCGCAACTACGTTCAGAAGACCAGGGTGCGAGGAAGCTACACCGGACATCACGGTATCATCAGAAGGTATGGCAGGCTTAATAAAGGAATGGAGAGTACTAGAGGTATACACTGGAAGCGATATGCAGTACATATCCTTCGAGATTGACACCGGCATCCACGTTAAAAACCAGAGAAAAAATACCGCCAACCGAAGTTAGAATGCTTCGAAATTCAAAAATTCGAAATTAATCTCCGCAATAGACGAGCGGAACCCATTCAGCAGCTCTCCCAAAACCGCAAGGAAAATTGTCGAGCACACAATGCTTAATATAACAAAAGCCTGTAACGGATCAATGCCCAAAGCTTCCCACAGCAAACATAGGGCGTCGGTTTATTAGTGGACAGCAAATATCGCCCAACTTAGACGCACATGTCTTCGCGCTCTGATCGTAAACGAGATCCAGGCGCAGAGGAGTAAAAAGATGAAATGGGAGGAACTACGCAAGTATGTTAACAAAGCCCTTGGAGACTCGGGTATAAAATAGTAATGAAAACACTCAGAGTCCGAGTTAAGCCACCTAACTTAACTGCTGTCAAAATGGACCACATCGTAAGCCCGCTATTTCCCACACACGAAAAAAGGCCTACCGATCCAGAACAGACCATAAGGCTTTCCCAAATCCCTCGGTTCCCACTCGAAGAGCTGCAACTGGCCACAGGCAAGCTCAAGACTAACAAATCACCCGACCCGGAAATTCCATCTTAAAATAATCGCTGCAGAGCGACCGGCAGTACTTCTGAACATGTACAACGCCTGCTTCGAAGCCGGAATATTCCTTGAACTCTAGAAAAACCAACGGCTGGCCCTAATCAGTAATTGAAAAGGAGATCTCAACTAGCCATCAGCATACCGTTCACTAGGCATGCTCGGCACAGCGGGAAAGCTTTATGAAATTCCACTTAAACCCAGACTCGAAGCGGCCATCAACGAAGCTAGAGGCCTCTCCCCCAGACTCCATGGACTTAGACCCGGCCGGTCAACTTTAGGAGTCATCAGTAGTTGTAGAAGCCGCACAGCGCAGATGTTATAAGTACAAAAGAATAGTTTTGCTGGCGACCTTAGATGTCCGAAACGCTTTCAACAGCGGTTGAGGTGGGTGGTTGATCGACGCTCTCTAAAAAAGTTTCAGAATACCCGACTACCTCAGGCCGGTGGTGCGAAGCTACCTTTAATCTCTCAATGAGAAAAATGGAACGCCACCCTGAAGTAAAGCAAACGCGGTCCCAGGGTGCGACGGTTCCTTGGAGGGGGGGTCTCTAGCTGGGACGACAGCACTGTATTTGGTAAAAAAATACCTTGACTGCTGTCAAAAAAGAAACAATTATTCAAAGCAGCAATTTTATTTTTTATATGAAATAAATATAAAATCTTTAGAAAGCTTTTTTTGTGCTAAATAGTATTGCTATAAAAATCTTTACACTAAGTTTTTAATCGAAATAGCGTATTAATTATGCAATTTAAATGTACAGAAGTTATTGACTTTCAAACTGTTCATCTGCATCCATACGGTTACGGATATGGTTGATAATTTATATTAATTACAATCTGCTTGAGTGTTATGTGAACATTCTTATTACCAATATAATACATATGGAATTAAATTCTACTTAGAAAGTAAATATGCATTCATTTCTGGCTAATTACAAATAGTAACTACATATTTATGGGTCTGTTTTTCATTTATATTCATATTTTCACTTTAAAAACATATTAGTCTGTAAATATTTTACCAACTACTGCAGTTTTAACTACATACGTTTTTTCGTTTTATGTTTCAACTATACTCATTTTGTCACTATTTTTTAAAAATAATGTAAGCAATGGGTACATCTTGCTTACTTACATATAATTATGCATTTCTATTCTAAAATATGAAACCTTTACATGGAAGATGAAATAACTGATTTCGTGGAAAAATCTCAACGAAAAACAGACCTATAATAATGTGGTTGAGATTCATATACATAATGCAAATAAGTACTTAAAGAAATTTTATTTACAAAAATATTTATCTTCAAATCGTTGACAATAATCGCAAATGAGTTGACAACATCGTCCGTTATTAAAACGACAGCGACACTTTTCTACTTGCTTGAAAACATGAGTTGTGTATCCACGTCCGCAGCACAGATTTGCACAGTTATCTGGATGCAAGCATTGCCGATCTTTGGTGACTGAGCAATATGTAGGGGAAGTTTCAAGATAGTACAGCGTCGTATATTGTGATTGCTAACAAAGGAAACTGTATTACAAAAACCCTCCTCGTTAATTAAGTGAAATACTTACTTTTCTTTTCTTCTGTTTCAACCCTTTTAACCGGTTTATGGGAGCATTACGTCGTATTGTACGCAAGTTAGGTGCCTTTCGAATAGCTTCATTATATTTTTGTCGCAATAGTGTTGCTGTTGCATTAAACTCAGATAATTTCTTCCAGCATGTTTTCATTGAACAAGAACCAGAAACTCCATGACATTTGCATTTGTCCATCATCATCATAGATACTGCTTCAATACCAACCTACAATTAAATCAATACTTCAAGTTTATTATAAATTGGTGGGGTTACACGTGGGTAAAGTTTAGAATTGAAACCCACGAATTTGGGGTTTAGATACGTATGTGGTCATATGGTCATGAGGTTATCCTGCGTAATAATAATTTCTGCCGCAGGCGTTTTTAGATCATAATTAGTTTTAAGCGACACAAACAACGTAAGGTGTTTTTATACTTTTGCAACATCTTGCTAGATAGTATCATAGTTTTGTTCACCTGACGGTTGTCTGTATCACCTGAAACTAATCAAGATAAATAGTCGGAAACTTATACAGCGCCTTAACTAATCTCCACAATAACATACCAGGCTGTAATTGAGTACACCAAATTGCAATATTAAGTGGAACTATAATAAGTAAAATCCACTACTAAACTTGTAAAATTTCACCTCTTACATATTCAAAACTAACTTTTTGTTTGTAAAAAGAAAATTCTGTTGTAAGAGTAGCAACATTAATCATGCAAGTTTTTGAATGGGTATTATTAGAAAAAAATTTGAGGTAAGCGCCTTTTCGATATGCTTGTTAAATTATATATTATTATTTTTGTTTTATATATTCAAAAGGCGTTTATAAAAAAGGTAAGTTTTTGAAATTTATGTTGTTTCTAAATATTTGTCAACATATAATTGCAGAGGACTCAATGGTGATTCTAGGTTGTAATTTGCAACGCATGATTTGAAATGTGCGAAAGATTTTCCACATCATGCTGAAATTAAGTTCCTATTAATTATCTTTGTGTGTTTTTGAAGTGTTTTTAGATGACACTCAACACTTTCCATTTTGCTAGTGTGTTGTAAAATATAAAATCAATACATTGGGTGTGCGGTGTCTAAAGAAAATCTTTAACAGTATTCCTTACTGGCAGAGCGGCGCGCGACGCCGAAAAGGCTAAGAATGTGCTGTGTAGTTTGGAACACACCACCATGCGAAAGGTTACACTACTATTTTTACACAGAGGACTGTCATCTCGGAGGATCAAGAATTCGAAAATGTCTACTATGCCCGATTTCAATCCAACACGCATTTGGCCATGGTTTCTGCGTATCGGATTGAAATATTTCAAGTGTTGGGCATAGTGCCTATGCGTAAATCGGTTGAGAAGGAAATTAATGCTGTACTCTACGGTTAGTCTTTTGTATCTTTTATCGTTTTTGGGCCTATAATTGAGGCCATATATCGCATTATGATAATTTATAATTATGAATAATTAAATCATAACTGGCCAATATTGTATATTTCTATGCTAAATATGTACAAAGTATATATACTTTATTTATTTGAATTTTTATTAAGAAAGAAAGTGGAAGATTTCTTCATCTTAACCTAAAATTTCCTCTTTGGTTAGAAAATGTCATCAGATGTTAAGGTAACCAAACAAAATGTTACGGGAAGTAAACAAAATATATATTAAAATATCAGTATAATTTTTGACGTTTCTTAACATGAAAACCAAGGTAACCGCCGTAGATAACATGTCTATGTTAAGTAGAATGCTAAATATTATAGCCTAATTTTTTAAATTATAATATATATAATACCACCATTTTTGTTCTTAAATTATAAAATTTAAATTTCCTAATAGTATTAAGTACTAAATTAAATAATTTAAAATATTATTGTTTAATTAGAATCATTATCAAAAAAAAAAAATTTGTTATATAGTATATATATATAAGTTTCAGCCAAAAAATTATTGCAAGAATGAAAATTTCGTTTGTAAAATATACTAATATGTCAATAGCATAAATACTAATGTTTAAAATCTATTCTAAAAAATTTTTAAAATTGAACCATAATATTTAAACATGCAACTTTAAGAAAATGTTAAATATACAAAAATAAGATAAGAATTTCAACTGTTTTATTTATAAGGAAAAAGGTAACCGATACGTTAGATAGTGGTAATCAATGATTAATCAAACACATAACCCATAGCAAGTCTCGAGGTAACCGATGCACCAGTTTTCTGTAACCAATGGCTAACCAAACAAATAACCTATGTAGTAGATAGTGTTAACCAATGAGTAACAGATAGTTTTCCAAAATAGTTGGCAAATTAGAGCAGTAAAATCACCCCGACGTGTTTTGAAAGAGGAGTTATATTTACTTTATTCCCTAGGCTAGAACAATATTAATCTATCGGATAACAAATTCATTAATTACTGATAATTTATTAGCAACCAGTAAGCTAACTTTTGTAGGGATGTGCAGTACCTTCATGAAATTCAGAGAGCATCTTTTTCCGTTAATTATTTGTGGTAATGACAAATATAGATAATATCGCTTCAATACTACCCTTATTTCCCCTTGACTTTATATCTTATACAGCGGTAAATATTTAAGATATTTTAACAAAATCAACTGAATGTATAATATTGGACATAATATAGTTTAACGCCGAAATATGTATGTAAAATTGGTTTATGAATTACACCGACTCCACTGACTACGTATATTGATTTTATTATATTTGATTCTAGCAAACCGAGTATTTTCCCTGCTTTGATCTTTCTAAGTTGCAAGAGTATACTTAGCCTTTCCCTCTTGTTCAATATCAACTTTTGTCAATACCTGAAGGAATCTCCTAAGTTTTGATCCCTGCAGGTTGCAAGAGTATAAAATGTTCGGTTACACCCTAACGAAGCGTTGTCAAAGCTGGTTTTGAATGGACACCTCAATGGCACATATTACTTTGCAGAAGTATTACTCAAAGAAGTAAATAGAAAAGCGTCATTTATTGTTTTGTTGAAAAATAAGTAAATAAAATATATATAAAATGAGATCTGAAAAATATACCACGATGGAAGAAAGTCGAATTATTTGGAAAATATATAAAAAAAGGGAAAAATGTGGCCATAATTTCTAAAATAATGAAAAATTCTCGTAAAAGAATATACATTGCAATTAAACATTTGTTGCGGATCCCCATGTGTTGGTCAAAGGCAGGATTCGAAAGCCAAGACTATGCAAAACGGAGGGGGGTACGGATGATGCTAATATGTAGTAAGAATGATCAACAATGATCAATCATTTGGCTTAAAAATATCTGTGGACTTCTCAGGAGACGTTTGAATCTGCCAAAGTTATTCGCGCCCATTTTGAAGAAGAAACCACTCTTTAAAAAAAATATTTCAAAACTATTGATTTTTGGCAGAACTCATCATGACCAATTCTTAAATTTTTTGAATAATGTACGTATTGTAGAGTGACGAAACAAAGGTTAATGGGATAGAACCAGATGGCAGAATATTTTTCCATCGTCCTAAGTGCCAAAAATATAATCCTTTATTCACTCAAAAGGTGCTTAAGTATAATGACGGAAATAATGAAACTGCAAAAGTTAATTATACAAATATGGACGATCTCTGTCTAGCCGTTTAAAAAGCTTACACCACAGTTTTAAAATTTTCGTCATTATTTATTCTTATTAAATCTATTATATAATACAAGGAATAAACCTTTAGAAAAAACTCAAATTTGTTTAATATTAAAAACATTTACGATACTTTAACACCAAAAAAAAAAGCATAAAAAAATGTGTCAATTATATGTAACACAGCAGTAATTTTTCATTAAACATTTTTAGAAAGCTGTTGTTATTTCGCTCAATTGATTTTTTAGAAAATTTTTTATTTCTGCAGATCGTCAGGTTAAGGGATTTCGGTGTCATAATTATGAGGCTCCATTTCAGCTGCATTTTATGTGTCATATGGTTTCAAGCAGGGATAATGGAATGCCCAACTCTTTCCAGTGTGAGAGCGCCTCGAAATTAGCGATTTTATAACATTTTCGACTGTAGCCAGATCGGACAAAATAATTATTTTTGGGAATTTAAATTATAATACCCAACATTTATTAAGATTAAATATTATTATACATATATCCGTTAAACATATGGAAAAACTATTTAAATCCATTTTTGTGATTTTGTTATATATTAAAACAACTGTTGTTAGAACTTTAATACTTAAAGAGTGAAAAAATGTATTAACTCTCAATTAGTAAATGTTTTTTATCGTTTTTAATTGACAGTTAATATTTTCATTTCATCACAAACATTTCAGTTTTGCGTTTTTTTTCCATTTTTATTGTTTTCCAATTTTTGTTAGTGATCTTCAACAGCGGCAACAAATCTCTCTGTTCACATATTTTTCAGTAGGATTTCAATCTGGCAAATTTTCCAATTGCTAAACGTCAGACCTCCTGAACTTTGACAGTCGAGAAAAGGTAGGTGTACATTTCCAGAGTGAATAATCATTTTTATGGTCGTTAGATAAACTCTTCAGACGTTAGCTAAGATTTCTATTTTTAACATACATGGAATCAGATGGAGGCCCCTCCCAGCGAAATCGGCATTTTTCTACTACCATTTCCTTGGTACACTTATAATCTGCTGTGACATTTCTTATAATTGGTGTACTACTCCAAGCTGCATATTTATTTGTGTTTGCCCATTTCAAAATTTCGTTGTCTAGCTCGAAATTACAACTTATTTTGACATAATTATCAACTTTAGATAGCATTTCTTAAAAGTATTCCCAGCCAGTGTTAATATTTCTCCGCGTTTCTGTTTGCCAGTGAGTTGGTGTCCAAGCAGAGAACTTAAAACAACGAGAAGGTGCAAATTGAATTTTGTATGATGCTCGATTGGTTGGCTGAGAAATTGAGATCAAGGAGTTCACCATTTTCTGTAATATTTGCTGTTATTTAACAAAAATGAGATTTTATAACAACGTTCTCAGACAAATTACGTATCTCCCAACATAAAGAGAACAATGAAGCGAAATGAATGAGAAAACAAAAAATACAAATGCCACTACACATATGCATAATTATTTTTTGCCATATAAACGATTTTTATGATGAAAAATTGATAAAATATGATATTTTCGCACAAATGCTATATTGATCAAATGTGAAAGATTATGCAAGAAATGATATTTTACTATTTTACTATTTTCAT